ATTTTGTAAATAAGTCTAATTTGAAATTTAATAGATAATAACTAAATTATCGTTTGCTTACTTTTTTAATATTAATACCAGCTTTTTATTTGTTTATTTCAGTTTTGGATTCGTAATTAATGATAAGAAACTTTGGTGTGATTTGTGTAAATTACTTAAACAATTATAATATCTGGAATTGAACGTTTTTTATTTGCCATTCTTACTTGTATGTTAACAAAAATGTAAGAATAAAACATGATTGTAAAAATTAATAGTTTTTAAGTTATTTTTGTCATAAACCAGAAATTTAAAATACCATACGACATTGTTAAAAATCATTTTGGTTTACCCCAGTGCGTGTACCTATCATAGAGTTTGCAGTTGGTCACGTATCATATAAGCTTGCCATTTTTCTTTTAAATTTTCACGTACTGCACGCCCCTCAAATGTTGACATTCGACAAGGGTTGTGAAGTAAATAAAAGAGACGTTATATCAGTTTCACACTAGGGCAGAACAGTGACACCGCAGTAAACTCCGAAACAGAACAGTATGTGAACCTTTTTTATACAATATCACTACTGCATTGCTTGCTGCTCTGCTTCATTGTTCTTCCCTCGTGTGACCTTAAACGAGCGTCTTCTGATTCCGAGTAAAAGAAACTTTGCTTTAAATTCTCCCTGGCGGCCGCAAAACACGACGGAATGCATTCAAATACATTTTGTTCAAATATAAAAAAGAAGATTTAGATTGCTCGGTGGGTTATTCGTATCACGATCTCGGTTCTACGTGACGATATTATACCAAATTCAAAGGGTAGGAATCGGGAGACGGCGTATTAAAAAGATTCGTTCTTATGTACAGAGTACAGAACACTCGGAACGGAAAGTACGATGTGACGTTTGATGGGCGTAAAGGTGAAAAGTTTGGTAACGTACTTTTAGTGTAGGTGTGTAGGTTAGAGTGGTATGGGCATGTTATGAGAAGGGATGAATCGCATGTAACAAGAAGGACGTTAGTTATGAATGTGGAGGGGTACATCGGTAGAGGTAGACCTAGAAAGAGATGGATGGATTACGTGAAAGGTGACATGATCAAGAAGGGAGTGATGACTGAGATGACGGATGATAGAGTGCTTGGAGGACGAAAACCCGGTGCGCCCACCCTACGGGAGTAGGATAAGGCAGGGGAGATTATGATGATGATGAACGTACTTTTAGTGTGATTATTAATAAACTATAAAAACAATTAACTATCACTTATTTTAACAGTTAAGGCTAAGATAAACAAGTACTACGGAAGTTAATAATAATATTTTTTAAGCGTGTTCTAATTTAAGATTTTTTTGTTAATTATAATTGTAAATAATGCACTGTTGTTTTCTTGTTTAAATACGAAAATTGTAATTCTCAATTTTATTAGTTATTCGATTCGAATTGATGTTAAATACACAAACGAGAGTATTTTATTTGTTCACAAATTAAATGAATGTTAATTTAGTATGCAAAACTTCAGTCCCGTCCCGCGAGCCGCGAGCCGCCTGCCCGGACCGGACATACGGACCGGATTTTTAAATAAAACATTTAACTAATTGATTTTACACACTCATGCGACTTTTTTATTTTCAATTTTAACTCAATATTTTGCATATGTAAATTGAAATTAGCTACGTGGAATAAAAGGTAACAATATTGTATTACACTTCCGTTTTTCGATACTCCGATGTTTTTAGAGTAGGTATTGCTTCATATGGACAAGATTTCGAGTTCATACGAGTATGAGTTTTTTTAATTTTAATTTACGTCTACAAAAAGTGACACAATGCTCAACGTAATGATTCTGTGGTAATTGAACAGAGGAGACAAATACGTCTCGCAGCGGCAAGCGGCATGCAGGCGACGGTTTTAATGTTTTTGGTCCGGAATTAATGACTTGCATCAGCTACCAGTGCCATGATCGCACGCAAAAACACATTCGCTGCGATTAAATTCAATTCATTAAGTTTTGTTTAAAATGCATCGGACATTTTCTTTTCATTTCTGCCAGTAAAATGCGCTTCCAGATATTTCTACACTAAGTCGTTTCTGGCTTCAATCTTTATCTATATGTTCTGTAGTCTATTCTATACGCTTCTATACTAATATAAAGCGTAAACACACACTAATTAATTATGTAGCAATCACATCATATTGTAGGATATTTATTTTTTTAAAAGTACTACACTCAGATACGCTTTATATTTTCACGCTGTTAATCTTTTAGAGAGTATATCATGGAGGTAATAAGTACTACGTACAACAGGAGTGTGTTCTTTTTGTACATCTTGCAGTTAAAATAAACAAATAACACCTTATGCTAAGGGCGTAAGAGTCGCGTTGCACGCAAAGTGATATTGAAATGAGTGAGAGGGCTACAAGTGTCCGATATGTCTCTTTCTAACTATGACCTAGAGTTGCCAGATATCAATCCTTTCGTTGTTTGTAGAAAAATAGGTAATTTTTGTAATGCAATGCAGTAAAATATTTACTTTTAAAATGTTTCTAAATAATAATAATAATATATTATCAACATCTTAAAGCAATATTATTTATTGCTATGGGTAAAACCTTATTAAGATAAAAATTTTGTGATTGGCATAAATGTTTTCTTTTATTTGTTTTAAATTCGGACACCTGAACTGGCAGCACTACATGACATCCTGACTCGAACAATAATGGCCGAGTCTTTTTGATTTCGTGATTTTTTTGAAGAAATTTAGTTAAAATGGGAAGAATTTTTGTCGTGGAGGCTTGCCGAAGCGAGTATTATGCTGATTGTGGGTTATATTTTCAAAGGTAATAGTTTTAAACATAATTTGTTGGTAAAGAATTACGGTGACCATGCATGATTATTCAAGTCTCGAACAAATGTTTTGAACACTTATGCATTTATTTTTTCCGTACTCTATTAAAATAGCTTTGTTTTAATGTCAGATTTAAGATATAAGGAATAAGATAAATTTAGGGCATGAACTTCACAAGACTCATTTGCAAGGTCTGATTTAGAATTATGTATTTTGTATTGTTTTTAGTAAATACATTAGTGATAACACTAATACGTTAAAATTCATCATAAGTTGATAAGCAATAATCCGCTGACATCAGACAACAAAAAAGTTTTTTTTTAATACTTGTCCTTAAATAATATTTTAACAAAGTCACCATCGCCAGAGAGTGATAAAACGGATAGTTATTGAGGTCTCGCTCGGCTTCATTTTTCGACAAGAATTCTATCCTGTTCTAGTAATACATTCATGTACCCCACATTGGAGAAAATCTAGATGCGGGAAAGGGATAAAAACTGCAAGCCAATAGCAGCGCATAAGCTAGAAAAAGCTAAAAAGACAAAGATTATCGTTGTCTATTGCTATTTGAAAGTTTATATTTTATTTTATTGTTTTATGTACGGCATGTAACCAATAAATTAAATTTATTTATATGATAAAAAGTAAAATAAAAAATAGTTAACATGATGATATTATGAAGAAAGTTAATTAAAAGTAATAATCGTAATCGTTTCACGCAATAGTAACACTTCACACGCAGAATTTTTATAATCTATGGCTCAAGGGCACAAGAATTTGGAAGTTGTCAATTTCAAATTTAAATTCACATTCACATAAGTTTCTTTTGGTTTCTGCGATATTCTGTAATAAAAGTTTAGTACAACAGAAAAACAATATTGGTTTGCAGGTGATAATAAGTATTTTGAAATTAGTAAATCAACGTGCAAACCATGTCACGAATGCAGCTAAATGATTAAAAGACTATGGATGAATATAATCTCAAAGTTTGTCAATAAATGTGCAGTTTTATTATAGTGAAACATTTTCAAGACTAATATGACTGTATATAAACTGTGACACGTAGAACCGAATAATCCAAGTAAAAAGGTAAATGATTTAAATTTAGAGTACTTTGTTGAGGGTATATTGTATGTAAAATATAATTAAATCTCTGAAATATGTTGTTAGTTCTTAAAAATAAAAACGTTGTATGGAGTAACAAAGTATTAATAGAGTAAAAGAATGGAGTAGGTTTTTAAGTAAATGATTATTAATTTTTGTGCTGTAAAACTAACTATTTTAGTTGGGATCATGTTTTATTTATTTAAGAAAAAACTAGAAAAACAAAATTTGATCTCACACCTGTAATGGAAAAAAATAACTTTCATTTCTTCTACCTAAGACTTTATGATTTTGTATTAATTAACAAATAATTTATTGTTTGCTTCTTCTAGATTCAAAAACAGTTAATAAAACAATATCTGAAATTTATTGTAGGACATGAACATCAATATAAAAGATTTCTTATTCATAAGTCAAGAGGGATAAATTAAGCATTTTTAAAACATTGTGATGATATATTCCTGAATGAAGTAACAAAGATTTTTATCTTTTAGTACATATTGTATGGTTTAGTATAAGTTTTATATTTTAGTCTTTTATAACCTGCAAATAGGTGGGAAGAATATAGGGTCATGGGGAGACGGAGAGAAATATAGATGCAGAGATTGAGATTGTGAGGTTTTGTGAAAGTATACTAAGTTTCCTTCCATACTTCAGTATTCAAAACTCATTTTGCAAAATCAATAAAATCATTTAAAATCATAATGTGTTTTGTTCCATCTCCTACATATTTATATATAACTTTTATACACATATATTTCCTTTGCAAAACTATTTTGAATAGTTTACTGTACTCTGTTTTCAAATTTTTTGCTCAAATCTAATCATAAAAACTATAAACTATAACAATTTAAAATACAATTACATTCATACTCAGATCCATACAAGCGGAGGAAATAAATATTAGATAATTGTTTGGGTAAATTATTGTACACAGTTCCAATTTAGTGATTGGCAAAAAATTTTTTTGCATGCATAAATATTGTACACAATGTTATGGAAATTCATGCAGACAAAGCTGCATTGAAACAGCTAGTTTATATTCTTATTATAGTAATTCTTTTTGTTCCCAGGTGAATGGGTCGTGGGGTCTACCAGCTTTCGTCTGCGACGTGTACATAGCCATGGATGTTACATCCTCAACCTCCAGTATATTCAATCTAGTAGCCATATCGGTTGACAGGTTAGTGTAAATTTTCTTACATAACACTATAGAACTTAGTTTTGAATATATACAGTCCAATAAAACAGACAGATTTTCCGAAAATACTCCCGTATCAAACAGGGTCAAGTCAACAGGCGTCACTCCCGAGAGGTTTCTTGGCAATCGTACAATAGCTTCATCTCTGAAGTGACTTGAATTTAAATAACATTGTAATTTGAAGATATTGTGTTTCGTTAAATATTCACATCTTCGTCAGTTCAACTTTATTTTTATACTAGCTTTCGCCCGCGAATCCGTCCGCGTGGAATCAAATAAAACAAAAGTGTGTAGCCTATGTGTTCTTCCAGACTATCCTCTACATCTATGCCAAATTTCATCCAGATCCATTCAGTCGTTTAGCCTACAAACTCTAACAAACAACCATCCATCTAAACTTTCACATTTATATTAGTAAGATTAGTAAGATTTATCAAAGCTATATAACAACGAATACTTATAAATTTAAAAAGGCAATTCAGTAAACTTTTTTTACTTAAGACGATGTTGAGAAGCGTGTTGTATGATGCATGTGGTAGGTACATCGCGGTGACTCAGCCTATCAAGTACGCGAAGCACAAGAACAACCGGCGCGTGTGGCTCACGATAGTGGTGGTGTGGCTCGTGTCGGCCGCCATCGGCGCGCCCATCGTGCTCGGCCTCAACGACACGCCGGACCGCAACTTCGACGAGTGCCTCTTCAACAGCCAGAACTACGTCCTCTACTCCTCCATCGGCTCCTTCTACATCCCCTGCATCATGATGATGTTTCTCTATTACAATATATTCAAGGTCAGTTTTTTATAGCGATATAATAAATGTTTTCAAACGTTCTTTTCATAATTCAAATTTCTAATCAGATTACGTTTTAAATACAGACTAGTTGTTGCTCGCGACTTCGCCCCCGTAAAATAAAATAAAATAGTAAAAAGATAGCCTATGTTACCTCACCGATAACGTATGTTTTTAATGATGAAAGAATTTTTGTATTCGGCCCAGTAGTTTTTTAGTTATTTCAATACATACAAAAATACAAACCTTTCCTCTTTATATTATAAGTATAGATTAAATTCTGAAAGTAGCAACGTCCCTTTGGAGTTATAAACACGCGTAAAATACGAGGTGCTACAATACAACAGTTTATTTTTCATGTAAATTCAATTGCGCAAAAAGCTTGAAGCAAACGTGTTCTCGTAAAGCGAGCACTACCAAAGAGTTTCACACGACTGATATAAAAATTCTATTTTGTATTGCAATTGTTTGCCGAACACGTCTTTACTCGAATACTGTATTCTTTTCCATACAATATTCATTTACAAAGAATTGAAAACAAAGGTCTCTTCATAAATATTGATCTTAAAAAGGTTTTTAAAATGTAGGCCACGAAAATGTGTGTTTTTTTTATATTATGAGGTAGCAAACTAGCAAACGGCCACCTGAATCCGCAAACATAGCGAAGCGACCGCTGCACATAGACATCTGCAATTGCGGAAGCGTTGCCTACCCTTATTGGACGGAGAAGTAGACGCACATAAAGATATTTTCCCTTCCTATGCGTCTACTCCGCCGTCAAATCACTTTTCCTTCCTATCCTTTCCTCTCGAAAAAAGGGATGGAAAGGGAAAGAGACTAAAGTTGGGCTGCCGGCACCACAAATTATCTGAAACGCGGAATTGCTTTCACTTCACGCCTGTCTTCTGTGTGGTCGTGGTCAAGCTGGGGGCGAACCGCCCCATTCGCGCGTAGATGGTAAAGCGGGATACCACTTTTAAAAAATAGTCGTGTATTAAAAACAGGCGCTTAGAAAGCGAGCGAAAAAGCAACGCGCTGCAAAGAAACCTCCAGTGTGTGGGGAGATGAGGGCCTCGTCGGCCGTCGTCATAGAGAACGTGGCGCAGAGCCGGCTGCTGGACAGCGCGCCCGACCACCACACCAACACCGGCTCCGGCAGCAACGACGACCACGACGACAGGTACTCAGCTGTTAAGCGAAGGTTTTATCGTCTAAACAAATTTTGATAAACATGTAAAAATTACACCAATAACATTTTTTTTTATTTACTAGCTATTGCTCGCGACTTCGTTCACGTGAAATTTAATATAATCTATGTTACTCAGCAATAACGTAGCTTTCTAATGGTGAAAGGATTTATAAATTGGCCCCGTAGTTATTAAGTTATTCCAATACATACGAAAATACAAATCTATCCTCTTTATAATATTGTTGTAAATATTACATATTTTTTTAATTTTTTAAGATTCCAAACAAAACATGTTAATATAATTATGTATACAGTAGTTGAATCTTAAATATCTAACAATGTTTCGTTTGTAGGCAAACACAACTTTCACAAAAAATGTGCAAATTACTTACTTTACATCCAAAAAGTTACAATAAGTGTTCAGTAACTATAAAGTAACATAAAATAATCAATTCAATGTTCCAAAGAAATCGCTTCCAACGAAGGCCTACTTAATAAAAAAATGACTTAGGACCTGTCCCACCACTGGCTGATACAGGCTCAGATAACTTCGAAATGACGTCACTCTCAGATAGGGGAACAAAATCCGATATTTTCATCACATATTTTACACATTGCATTGTTATCAGACAATTTACAATTTGGTAGGAGTAAATTATGTAATTTGTATTGAAGCTTCGACAAGCGGTCAGTGGAGCTGGAGGCCGACGTCGACGACTGCCTGCCCAACGACAAGTCCACGGACTTCATGCTCGTTGCTGCCACGGAACATACAATCAAGTGAATACCTTTTACATTAACAATTATAATTATGTACATTGTAATCTGTACAGTCGAGGAAACCCTCGGTGTATCACTTCAGGAAAAAATGCCTTGTTTATAACAAGACAAACTCAGTCTCCACTTACAAATAACTAAGATAGCAGTGATTGCAAACGAAGGGATAATAATAAAAATAACCGTGTCGCTAACCGACTTTTTTTAGTACATAATTATTATCATCATCATCATCATCATCATCACCAGCTCACTATACGTACCCCTTGATTTGCTTGGAGCCTTTTTTTTGTTTTTTTTTTCTCGCTGGGAAAAGGGCTCGGAGCCTACCCTACGTTAGTGACTAGGCCATAGTCAATCACGTTGGCTTATTATCTTTGAATTTCTTTGCTGATATGTGCATCACGATGTTTTCTATCGCCGTAAAAACGCCTGGTAAATTATATACATATGAAAAATCAAAAACTCGAAAATCACATTGATACAGCGGGATTCGAACCCAAGATTGTAGATTAGTCAAGTGCTTAAACCACTGATTTTTGTTTCGTGTTTTAAAATGTTCAAACGATTGTAATTTTTAA